CTGCCATTGTCATGGCAGTGGACTCCGTAGAAATACTCCTAACAAATCTTTCCTTATCCTTTCTGACTCTCTGTCTTGCATCATCTCACTCACAAACTACACACTCTTACATCCAAAAATAGTTTGGCCTTTATACATTGGCCTTTATGGCAAATTATAAAATGAAAACGTACTATTTAAAATTTTATTGTTACGTATAAGAGTTGTTTTAAATCGCAAATATATTTACACTGAATTTTAATATTTTAGCATTTTTAACATTTTAAAGTCAATTAGTTAACCAATCGTGCAGTCATATGACCTTAGCATTTGCGAACGCCGTAAAACCCTATACTACTACTACTACTACTAAGGAGTGCGTACTGATCCCACAATGACTTGACCAACGATTCTTTTGAGTCCGTTCATCGAACGGGAAACCTTCTGACTGTGTTAATGTGTTCATATTGATGTCAAATGCTTAGACCATACCGCCGCCCGGGAATGATACAGTTGTAAATGCAAACTTTTCTGTTTTGAGTTATTTATATCTATGGAATCATCAGAACGAGACGCATCAGATGGGAATAGTAATTTTAAAGTATCGGCAAACATAAAAATGCTATTTACAGAAAATTTAAGTCCTAACTCAAATGGTATCTGTTAAACTCGGAAGAGTATAGTCGTAAATTAAGTTACGACAGAAGCATTGCAGGAATTGAATGACTTCAGGGAACGATACTTTCGCAAGTGAACATACGACTCTTTTATCGTGAGAATCCAGCAAAGCCCCTTTACAACGCAGTCAGAACTCGACTTGCAACTGTATTATTTCTGAGAATTGAGACTTAAGAGCTGATTTTCTTGTTATTTGTCATCTCAGCATACGACTCGGTTCTTCTTTTTGATTTATATTAATTTATAACACCAAACGCTTCATATCACACAGGACCTTAATACAAAACAATTCCGTTTTTACAGTGTTTTAAGAAGAAACACGTTTTGGCTCCTTCTGTTGGTTTCATGAATGAATGCCTGTTCGAAGTGGTTGAAATTGAAGGGTTGTCGTATAATCAAGACATTTCTCTTGATAACAATGACATGAGCACTGAAGAAGGCCTTCCCCCGACATGCAGCTTTCAGGTAGTCCAACCAATAATAATTTGAAGTCACCTGGAATCTCCGATGAAGAGGATATGCCTTTCATTCCGCTTTTAGAGCATCAACCCAATACAGTAGTCTCCGCCTAAGATCCCTCCGCTTATGGTCCCGGTTCACCTAAGATTCCACTTTTCAGGTCATAATTTATTTAGTTATTTTTCTTTTTTAAAGAAAAAAGTAAAAATAAACCTGGACGCGCTCAGCTGATCAACCAAGTAGCGAAAATGTGCGATCATTGTACGGTCCGTCGCGTCACGAATCATTCACTCCCATGAATGCGATCATACCTCTGTTGTAAATCTCGATAAGCGGTTACAATGTTTCCCCCCAGATGGGATCGCACCTAGGTGTGAACTTGTTCGATGCCTTGCTTTCCCTGATCTCATGAGCCGTCTGCCTGGTCTTACATCACACTCTATATTGGGAGGGCCTACAAGCAAGCGTCAGACTGCATTCTATCAAACTGTGAACTCGTGGACGCTTACGTTTTCCTGACCGTCTCTTTGGTTTTTCAGTTTTGCGCTCTAAGTTCCTAGACAGACTGGCGCCCATACTCGTGGACTGTCTAATCGTCTTTGCGTAGTGGGGTCATCTGTGGGCAGTGAACCTGCCTTTCATTAAACAAAAAAAATTTGGTCGGTTTGGTCACAATACAACGATTTATGATGCGTCATATGACATGGGCAGGGAACTCCATTAGAGATGGAAAACAATGCATTTTTGGTGGTGGGGGGG